GGACCAGTGAAGTAGCCTGGGTCAGAAGACAGAAGACCTGCAAAGGGAAAGAAGGGTGAATGAGTTCCCAGGGATGCTTTTGGTTGATTTGATAAGAATGCTTATACAGTGGCTGAACAGTCAGAGAAGGAGAACCAGACACTGCAAGTCAAAAACTGGAGAGCGAGAGGCAAAGAATCATCTTGTCACCATCCATGAAGAATAGTGACTATCAGCGCAAGAGGAAAGGAGCATGGTGTAGGGGAGATGAAGCCCTGCAGAAGAACCACCACAGGTCAAGCTGACTGTCCAGTCAAAAACATCCATCCCACAGAACATACACATTCCATCAAGACATGGCAGGAAAATGGGAGGTACAGATGGAGGTCAGTATAACTCAACATGATTCCGAAGCAGAAATATACAGCCCTCTCACAGGCCGCATAGATTACTCTCTATATATAATACTACTAACATTAATATGAAGGGGGAATAGCATAACTTAAAGTGGGCAAGCAGGGCACAAGCTCCAGAAATGGACTCAGAAGGGGTGTCACAATGCTGCCGGGCAGGAGACTGTCAGTTACTAGCAGTTGGAGGGTGTGGACAGTAGGGTGTGGTCTGCCATAGAATTCAGGGTCCCTGAATCCCAGCAAACATTGCTATCAGTGTCAAGGGGGGATAAGTGAGGGCCATCCTGACTGGAAGGAGTTTCTGTGGTCCAGATCCAGCTGGGGACCCGGGGTGAGCTTGAGACTTCTGCCATAACCAATGACTTTTATACTTTTTGAACCAAAAAAGACGACCGATATCTCTCCAAATTTTCCATAAAACACATTGTATGGTAAGATGCAAGATAAGGAGGGCTCCATAACTAAAACTGGTAAGAGGTTGAAAGGTGAATTTTTTTTTACTGCAGGTACTAAATTGCCTGCTATCGAGATAGTATCCTTCAGTTTATTTGGTCAGTATTGTGACAATTTCATGTAAACTAAAACCCCTACCTTGTTCTCCAAGGTGATCATGCATGCATATTAAACTAGCAGTAATTGGGTTTGTTAAATGACATATTTTCGTTTCAAGTTAAATATTAATATATAAGATGCTACATGCTTGAAGTAACGTCCACCTACAAGAGCTGAAAAACCTCAGTTACTGAAGCTGCTTGCAGACATTAAAAAGAAAAAAAAGGCTTTACCAAAAAATGCAGAGTGTTACGTCAACCTGGTTCTGTACAGATCGGGTGCTTCAGTGGGGATTTCTGGCACTTTTAGCTAAAGCTGATTCAATCAGCTATTAGTTAAACCCCTACTAAAATGTCCAATCTATACAGACACTGGACGAGCTGGGTCCAACTAATGCACTGCCTCTTTTGGGCATGTGCTGGGCTCAGCATAAGAGCACGCCAAGTTTAAAACACTGCTTTATTTTGCTTCTTTTTTTAAAAAAAACATCAACAAGCAGTCTGAATATTTACTGTGTTAACACAAATACAAAGACTTTGAAACCTACATTAATCAAGGTTGTAAAAGCCATTGTTACTTTTATGCATGCATGAAAGAAGGAATGGGCCATATAATAATATTGTCACTAGAGGAATATCACTGGCCTTTTTGCCCAAGAAATGTAAAAAACCATTGGCTATGGCAGGGGTGTCAAACTCACCCCTGGCCCCCAGCTGGATCTGGACCACAGAAACTCATGATCACCTTGGAGAACAAGCTGGGGGTTTTAGTTGATATGAAAGTGTTTCAAGAGCTGTCCAGCAGAAAAGCCTGAAACTAAGTTCATTCTCCCAGTTCCTAAGAACCTGAAAACCATGGAATGGCACAAACAGTGCCGAGAAAGTTAATTGCAGCATATGATGCTATCATTATTGATTACTTATTGCCTATTAAAATGGTGATTTAAAAATGGAATCCATTATACTGGATAATGAAGAGCAAAGTATGGACTAGCTAGTATGCCGTCTGTGGTAACTGTCTACTTTTAAGTACTGAGTCACAATATACCAATTGTACAGGTCCCAGAATGCAAATGTTCCACATCAGTCTGATCATTTTATTTAAATCGGATGTTCTCTTCAGCATTTAAGCAAGTTATCAACTGAACACTTCGTTAAGGCTAAGTTTAGGCACCAAAGTACTGATGTAATCAGCCCCTGCCTGCTTCAAAACTACTTTAAAGCATTACTGAAGGGTTTCCATGGATACTAAAGGCAGGAGAGCTAGGTTCTTTATTATTTATTTTCTGGTTTTGCTTTGTTTTATATATCTGTGTGTGAACATGCCATCTTATATTTATAGGAAAGCCTAACAAAATAAAAAACTGGCAATAATTTCTACATAAATACCAATTACTAATGTGAGAAGTAAGCTTATAAATATTGTGTCTGAGGCCAACTTTGTATTGTTCCATACGTGTGATAGGACTGTAAGTAAATTTCTTCACTGTACAAAAATCTTAATTTTCAACATTGTTTCAGTTTAAGAAAAACTAATTTACTCAATTTACTGATCTAAATATACCTGGCAATGTATCCAAAAAGACTCGACAAGAAACCTGTATAAAAAATTGTGACAGCACAAAAGTATTTTTTTAAAATAGAGTTCTAATGCATTTAACGAACTGTTCAGAGTAATTTACCTCTTTCCCCTCTTCAGTTTCTTGCTTTAAGCCCAAGGGAAGTACAGTCAGGGCAGGAGATAGCCATTACACCACTGATTACAAGACCTTGCATTAAAGGTTAAGGTATACAAACCCACCCTCACAGCACTGACAGAATCCAGATCCAAACAAATCCTTAGTACTAAAGATCTTGCAGGCCCTACAGCAAGCTAACCTGCATTCTACCAACACAAAACATCCTGCAGCATTAGACCCAAACCCAATCAAACCAAACCAGTAAATAAATAAACAAAAGCCAATCATATGCCAGGGGAAACAAGCTGCAGAGCTGTGCAAAGGGAAACAGTCGAGCAATGACTGGGCATTGCAGTTCAGACTTTTGAGCATCAGCATAAGCCAACTGTTTGCCTGGCTCTAGCCAATGCTATTAGTCTAGTTTTAATCCACAGAACATTGACATTACAAGAAACACACCTGGAACTGAAATAAGACTTGGCAGAATTAACCATCAAACCAAACACGCTTTTGGATTCAAAGGAACAACATAACCCAGAAATACCATGGTAGAGGTCAGGGGAAATGCCTTGTTAAAACTTTGGCAGACAGGGTTCTTTGGGTAAATGTGGCACCTGTACCACACTGGTTCTGTGCTCTAGATCTAGCACTGTTATGGATCAACCCATGTCAGAGCCAGCATGCAGGGATGGTAGGACAGCACATGCTAGCCCCAGCATTACATGCAGCAGAGAGAGCTGGCTGGATGCAGTGTCCCACCAGACCAGCTTGAGGCCCAATCTCAACCAGCCCTGGAGCCAGCACACAGGGCAATCTGACAGAGCACCACATGCATCCCATGTCCTGGAGTGACCCTCTGTGCTGGGTGTAGCACCAAGTCCAGCCCATGCACCATGTGCACAGCGATGACCAGAGCAAAGCACAGCAAGCATGTTCTGCATGCAGCATACAGGCTAGACCCGGCATCATGGGTGCTGTATGCAGCACAGTCAGTCCCAATCCAGCCTGAGACTGGCCCAGCAATCCTCATCCAGCTTGCAGAGTTGGCTGAATTTGATACCAGTGTGCTAGATGGTCCATTCCAGGAGGGACTTGAACACTTGACATTTGGTGCAAGGCAAACAAGTGTCAGACATTTTCAATATTACCCAGGAAAATATCCCCAATTTCTAGGTTCACAACATCCATTTAAAATTTGCAGCCATTTAATGCTGTGCTGTACTATTAATACATACATATGTTCGTTGTTCCTGAATGATTAAGTAAACTTCAGTTCCTCTCTAGATGTGTGGTAGTTAACTACAAGTTTACATAAACTGCCAAAACTTCCCCCTTACTTATTTGCTCAGACCACAGGTTAGGGTTCCTCTTTTCGGTGGGAATTGTTAAAGAGATCACAGGCTCATTATGCAGATGCAGAATATCCAACTGTATGCTTGTAAATGTCTGTGATATCAGCTGTTACAGGAGCAAACAACAATGCAGCTGGATTTCAGCAAGTAAATGAAGCATCTGAAAAGTATTTGCAATTTAAATCTAAATATATCCTAGTATTTGAAATTCAGCCATTCAATTTACAACAGCATCAACATAATTCAGTGTAAATCTGTTCCTGATTATACTGATTATGTACTAGGTCTAGAATAACAATCCTTTTTTATAGAACTAAACATTTTAAAATGTCTAAAAACTAGCAGCAATATTAAACATGTAATATTTTCTGGAATTAATTCTTTAAAACCAAAACAGATTGCATTCTTTCTAGATTCAACTGATGCTTTGTAATGATATAAATCCATGACATTTTTTAACAAGTTGAATACAATTAACCAACTTACTTCACGTTTCTTAATCCATTCTCCCCATAAGACATCCATAAAACTCCAGGTAAATGAAAACTTTGGCTACAACTAACCATATAATAACTAACTACAGCATCTGCATAAAATTAATTTGACTTGGCAAATATGTTTTAGTTTTCTGTTTCCATTAAACTGGATGCTAACGTGAGTCATTTTAAATCATAGTGGTATTTCTAAGTGATACATAATGAAATTTTGCATAATCTAGTAAATCAAACTCATCGACCACTGCGAGGAACTTACAAGGCAAATGAGAGGTCTGTGAAATTACCAAACATCTCTCTGTTTGGCCTCTCTGGACAGAATAATATCAGAACAGCACGGTTAATTCAAACTTCAACAGAAAGAAAATCTGTATTTCCACTATCACAAAAATAACTAAGTGAAAAGGCAAGTTTTTTAAAGCTGGTTATGCTGAATTTTTAAAGCTGGTTAATATCACTTGGGTGAATTTTCCTGCATGTAGGATAATTTCATGGTTAATTTTTTAGCAGCTTTTACTTCAAACTTAATTACCTGCTAACTTCAGAGCTCAAGTAGCACAGTAAATGAATGGCCCACAGGAAAGGTCCAGCATATGTTGCAAATCCTGTAAGGAAAATTGCTGGTATTGCCACATAGTTGTCTAGCCCCACAAAACCAGCTGAAACATCCACTGTAGCGATGCTATTTGAATTTCCCTGTAAATATAAAGTAATATTATTTTGATATTTGCCAGGAAAAATAGAAAAGTACAGGTTAATTAGCATAATGTTTAAATGGCCTCATCTTTTGAGCCACTTTACAAACACCAGTGTTTATTGCTTATGAATTTAAAGCAGCTTACAAACAAGAGGTTCTACTTCAGCATATAAACAAGGAACACCAAAATAAAAAAGTGACTTTCTATTTACTAGTCCTATTTTGTTTTCATCAAAAACATCTGCTTCTTGTTTAATAAATTATATCATGAAAACATCTAAATGAGCAACAAAGTGAAATGCATTTGGAGAGTTTCAGTCTTGGCCCTGAAAAAATGCCGCACTTTCACTATAAATAATTCAAAAAGAAAGTTCTACAGTTAAATCTCAGGACTGGAGCGATACAGAGAGAGTTAATCATTCCTTGCCCCCAGAGAAGAGGATGTTACCAGTTTAAGGGTTCTAGTGAAGGGCTAAACAATATTATACAAGTTAGCACACCTAACTGGATTATCACATATCCTTTGTTAAGTTACTTACCAAGTTGTACATTTCCCCCTCACTGAACTTTGATAAAATTAGCAGGGCAGTAATTCTGTGAACAGTTATGTCTACATGGAATAAAAGTTTAAAAAGCAAAACTCCACAGCAATCATCCACAGATCAGGAGCACTCCTACAAACTTTGACCTCATAGGGTTAACAGAGACCTGGTGGGATGACATGCATGACTGGGCACTGCATATTAATGGCTACAGGCTCTACAGGAAGGACTGCATTGGGAAGAAGTGAGGAGGGGTGGCCCTCTATGTGAAAGAGCGGTACCCCTCCCTGCAGGTCAGATTTGACAGCAGAGAGAGGTCCCTTGAGACCTTCTGGGTCAAGATACAAAGGGGTTCGGGTTCGGGAGACCTGATGGCGGGAGTCTACTACAGGCCTCCCTCCCAACAGGAGAATAATCAGGCATTCTCCAGGGAACTGGCTGATGCAGTCAACACTAAAGACCTGATTGTCATGGATGACTTCAACTACCCTGACATCTGTTGGAGGGGACCATTCCGCCAGCTCCAGCAGGTCAGCCAATTTCTTGGCAACTACTGATGACCTGTGTTCCGTCACAGGTTGTTGAAGGACTGACTAGGGGGGAAGCCACTCTGGATTTGGTGCTTGCCAAAAGGGAGGACATGGTAGGGAAGCTGAGGATTGGTGGTACCCTGGGTGACAGTGACCATGATCTGATTAGGTTCACCATGCACCAGAAGGCTAGGATTTCAAACAGTAGAACAGTGGTCCTCAATTTAAGAAGGGCAGACTTTAACCAACTCAGGAGTCTAGTTAGAAAGGCCCTCTGAGACCACCAACTGGAGGATTTGGGGGTTCAGGAGCAATGGTGCCTCCTCAAGGGAGCAATCCTTTCTACTCAAAAAGAGGTTATTCCCATGAGACCAAAAAGCAGGAAAGGAGCCAAGAGACTCACTTGGCTCAACAGATATATTAGAGAACTTTTGAAAAGGAAAAAGGACACATATAGGCAATGGAAAAAAGGATAAGCATCCAGAGAAGAGTTCACTCATATAACCAGGGTCTGCAGGTATGAGATACAGAAAGCCAAAGCAGGCATGGAGATCAAGCTAGCATCTGAAATTAAGGACAACAAAAAGTCCTTCTACAGGTACATAGGGAGCAAGAAAAAAAATTGAGCTCCACTGTGGGACCTCTACTGAATAAGAGGGGCACCCCACAAAAAGACAGAGCTCCTAAATGGTTACTTCACATCAGGATTTCAAAAAGCTAAAAGGAGCTGTGCACCCCTCCAGAGGCCCAGGGAATATGTGGAAGTCAACAGACAACATGAAATCAGCTGCGACCAGGTGAGGGTCCTCTTAGAACAACTGGATGTTTTCAAGTCCGCTGAGCCACATGACCTACATACAAGAGTCCTAAAAGAACTGGCTGAACTCACAGCAGGGCCTCTCGTAAAGTTATCTGAAAAATCGTAGAACTTGTGAGTGGTCCTGGATGACTGGAAGAGGGCCAACATAATACCAATCTTCAAGAAAGGGAGGAGGGATGACCCTGCAAACTACAGACTGATCAGTGTGACTTCAGTCATAGGAAAAACTTTTGAACAAATTGTTAAGGAAGCCATCAATCACAAATTTGTAATTGACAGGGTACTAAGAAATAACCAGCACGGCTTCATGGAGGGTAGATCATGCCTAACAAACCTGGTTTCCTTTTCGGATCAGGTAACTAACCAGCTGGACATGGGGCACGAAGTAGACATCATTTACCTTGACTTTAGTAAGGCCTTTGCCTCTGTCTCCCATGAAATTCTCTTCATTAAACTGGAGGGTACTGGTCTGGATCAGCCTACAGTGAGGTGGGTGGATAACTGGCTCAGAGGCTGGTCCCAGATTGCTGTGATCAATGGAAAGGCCTCTTCCTGGAGGGCTGTCTCCAGTGGTGTCCCACAGGGATTGGTGTTTGGACCCAGGCTTTTTAACATATTTATTAATGACTTGGATGAAGGGGTGAAATGCTCTATGATTAAGTTTGCCAACGATACCAAGCTGTGGGGACACACCAGAGGATAGGGCAAGGATCCAAGATGACCTAGACAGGCTGGTTCTATGGGCTGATCAGAATCAGATGAGGTCCAACAGGGAAAAGTGCTGGGTCCTTTATTTGGATAGGAAGAACCTTCACCATAACTACAGGATAGGCAGCAGCCCACTGGCTGGCACAGCATCTGAACAGGCCCTGAGGGTCACAGTCAGCCAGAAGATGAATATGAACCAACAGTGCAATGAAGCTGCCAGCAGGGTGAATAGAACTCTGGCATGCATCAGCCAATGTGCTGCCAACAGATCCAGAGAGGTGCTTCTCCATCTCTACTCAAAGCTGGCAAGGCCGCAACTGGAGTACTGTGCCCAGTTTTGGGCACTGCACTTCAAGAAGGAAGCGGATAAGCTCGTGTGCAGAGAAGGGCCACCTATACCATCAGGGGCCTGGAGGATAGGCCATATGAGGAGAGACTCCAGGAACTAGGCTTGTTCAGCTGAAGTAAGAGGAGGCTGAGAGGTAACTTAATAGCCACCTACAAGAATGGCAGGTGGGAGCACCAAGATCTGGGACAGCAACTCTTCAGGAAGGCACCCCTTGGGAGCACAAGGACCAATGGACACAAACTAACACAGGGAAGATTTAGACTGGACATAAGGAAGAACTTCTTCCCCGTAAGGGTAACTAGAACCTTGAACGCACTCCCGGCAGAGGTGATGCAGTCGCCATCCTTGGAAGTGTTCAAGAAGAGTGGATAAGTACCTTGTTGAGCTAGTTTTAGCTCATTAACCTCCTGTCTATGGCAGGGGACTGGACTTGATGATCTTCCAGGTCCCTTCCGGTCCATTTATTTTATGAAGCTTCAGCCATTTGACGTACAGATTGACAAGTACAGGATGCAAGGAACACAGAAACCATTCAGGCCTGTCTAGTCAGATCTGCATATTTTACTTGGGTCCAGGGATCGATGATTGTTCTGAAGTTCACTTTTTCAACAACCACCTGGAATTCTAATCAGAACTGGACTAGGTAATTAATTCAGGACTTGTTAAATTGAATATGCCCCAGTTTTTATTAAATATCACACTTAAACTCATTAAATCAGGGCAAAAATGTGGAATAAAGTAGTAAGGCATGTGCCTTAGGGTCTAGTGCTGCTTGCTGCAACAGGCAGAGGAACACAACACTTCGGCAGACTAGCACAAACACTTTCAGGAATTCTCTAATTCCTAATGAGGTTAGTGCTCCACTCAGTTAGCTACATACCCTTATTGATTCTGCTGTTCACTACTGGGGGAAAAGAGTCTAGAACAGACAACCAACACATATCTAAAGGATTACCACTAGAATTGCAACTGTTACCTGCAATCAGAAAGTTTTGGCCTAAGGCTGGATCATTACTGTACATCAGGGTACCAGTTTTTTGTAGGAGAGAAAAAGGTATCTGCAGGCTGCCCCTTCATGACCCCAATTTTTTAAACAAGCCCTCAATTTCATAAAATACTTTCATGATTGGGACCACTCTGCTTTCCTGACCATTCGAGAGTAGTTTCTTAGACCACCATGAAGATACTGTAAGAAGATTTCATCTGATTGGTTTTGGACCATCTCTCCAGTCTATCCAGGTCATTTTGAATCCCAACTCTGCCCTCTAGAGTACTTGCAACTCCACCCAACTTGGTGTCACTCAATCCCCTCACCCAAATCATTAATGAAGATGTTAAACAATACTGAAACCAGGACAGACCCCTGGGGAACCCTACTTGATACTTTCTCCCAACTAGGCATCAAAACATTGATGACTACTCATTGAGCATTATGATCCAACCAGTTATGTATCCATCTTATAGCACTTTCATCTAGTCTGTATTTCCTTAGCTTACTAAATCAGAATGTTGCCTGCTGTAAGCTAAAGTCAAGCTATATCACATCCACTACTCTCTCCCCCCATCCACAAAACCTGTCACTTCATCATAGAAAGAAATCAATTGGGACAGGCATGACTTGTTCTTGGTGAATCCACACTGGATATACCTGATCACCCTGTTCTCTACGTGCTTCAGAACAGATTTCTTGAAGACATGTTCCATGATCTTTCCAGATACTGAGGTTTGGAAGACCAGTCTGTAATCTCCCAGATCCTGCTTTGTTTCTTTCTGAAAGATGGGCAATATATTTGCCAGGCCCTCATCTGACCACCACAAGTTCTCAAATAAGATGAACAATGGTTCTGAAGTTACTTCAGCTGGTTTTGTCAGATATAGAGACTTTTAAAAGACATTTAAAATTAGGTTGTAATGGACTGTGAACAACAAGCTTTACCATAAAGATGGTAGCATTTGATTTTTAAGGTACTCTGTAATTAATGGAGACCACACTAACATTTGCATTTACTGTCACTGTATGCTCTGAATTAAGAAGCAATGATTAAATGCA